AGATTGATTTTGATTCAAAAACAGGTAAAAATCCAAAAAAAATCCATAGTAAAATTTTTAATTTGAGTTCTTTCTATCATGAAACACATTTTTAGCTTACTCTGCTATTTTTTAAGAAATCTCATAAGAAATATGCAAATATTGTAAAATCTCAACTCTGGTCATATATATGTGGCATATATACCGGTATGAAAATTGGCAACAACGTCTAAAACTTGCACGCAATCGTGTAGTTAAAAATCAGGTACAATCATACGGAATCGTATAGSTTATTAAAAATGTATCGCCGATAACGAACGTACGCAATCGTGTTTTACCATATCTACCCATCACATAAAGAATCTTTCAGCGTTAATTTTGTATTGCGGTGAAAAAATGATGTTAAACTTAAACATAAAGATTAAAAGTAGTGTGTAAAATATCGAATACAATTTATTATTTATTTTTGTTAGTTCAAATCTCGATATTATGCGTTTGAATAAAATCCTATTATGTCACATCATAATTAATGATACGAGTATCGGAGTATGGTAGTTGATGTATCGTGGTTCCTATATATAGAATAATATTATACAAATTAAATAACTTTCACATCATTATTAACACTATTTTCTAACAAATTTGGTAGATTGGTGTACAAACGCGTTACGCGTGTACATTTTACAATAATTAATTTTTTTCATGGTGTCAGCTAGGCTTACTATTTGAGGAGGCCCTAGAAACGAATTCGGATTATTAGTCACATCTCGTATTTTAAACACATACACGTACACACATATTAATTCAATATTTGTACTAAAAATACATTTTCAAACGATTTTGTTTTTAAAATTTTTTTATTCGGTTATTCAATGATAGTTCGTAAACATTATTATTATACATTGAAGTTATTTCAATATTATACCCATCACTGTCCATACGGGATGTGTGTGGGATGGTCTACCCACATATCGTCAGCTATATTATGTTTTAATATAGCATAATGTTGACGTCAAATTGTAGTGATAAGTGATAACTGATGGTGACCAAAATTAGTACAGTGTCCATGTGTCCCCACATACATTTTTTTTTTTACATTTACGTAGATATAATAATATAGATAGGCATATTATTTTTATTACTATATAGGGCTGTAAATTAGTAGAAAAATGCAATATTTTTAGTTTACTGTAGGTACCTACATCATGAAAACATTTATACAAAATTTACATTAAATACTAATGAATTCAATTTTAAACATTTTATTTTGCAATTCTTGAAATTTTTGTTTATTGTGTATTTTTTAGCTATTTGCTGATTTTTTCGATACTTTTCATTAATTCTGTCTATTTTTATTTTTATTTATTTTTTGTTACATGTAAACAGTGCATTCGATAGTTTTTATGTTTTTTTTTAATTATCAGCAACGATGTGAGCTAAGTGGTGGATTCTTTGCTTTTCTATAATCTGGAGAAATGCCAAATAGTATAACAATAAAATTTAAAATAATATAGATATATAATATATTTTAATGTAGACATATGATTATATATTATAAAATAATGTATATAGGTAAATTAAACTAAATTTGTTAATATACATGGAAATATAAAATTTATTGTATAATTTAATAATTATAATTTATAATTATAATAATTTTTAATTTAATTTACTCAAATAAATTTCTGTTTAAAAATAAAATAAAATACTTCACAAATTATAGTTCAAGTATTATTAAGTGGTATATTTTTTAATTGTTTGATGAATTAAATTGTAATAAAATGACGAGATATGTTGTGCCAGCTGCAATTGCCTACAAACAAAACATACTATTCAAAATAAACTAAAATATTTCCATTCTGAGTGGAACAAATTAGTTTTTATTATAAATAATGATTTTAAAATGTTTTTGTCATACAATTTAGTCGTATGGTCGTATGGCCAACTTACAGATGTGATCAGATGAGTGTTTAAAGTGAAGAAATCGCAAGCTGTAAATTCAATTGTACAACTGGAAATTTGATTGAGGAAAATTTGTAACTGAAAGTGAATTAGGTAAATAATTTTAAATGCTATTAGATAAATATCATCATTTGTAAAAACAGATTTACCTCTTCCTTAGTATTATTATCTAAATAACGATTGTCTATATCCGTTATAAGTATTTTCGATTTGAGTGCCTGAAACAAACATTTTCAATTATAATAATTACAAATATGTGATACGTTGGTTTATAATATCTTATTATACTATTTCAAGCACGAGCTACTATCCAAAATTATTAAAACATTTATTTATTTTTAAAACTGAAAAAAATATTTTAACAATGTTGGTTAACTATTTTTACAGAAGGGGAATAGATAATAATATTAGAATTATACGTTAAAAAGTAGAGGTACGATGTTTTCAATAATTTTCTAAATTATGTGTATTTATAGTACCACAGAGTTTTACACAGAATAACTATAGTGTGCACATATTATTCTTTATATAGATAATTTTTTTCTTAAAGATTTTCATTTATCATCATATCAATATAGTATTTGTTACCAAAATGTTCAGTGTTACATAGATTATTGAAAAATCCTACCAAATTTGATTAAAAATAAGTTTAATAAAATATTCTCGTTTTAATTATGTAACCATAAAAATTAACCTAATAAAATTTCACAAATGTACTCGTTTGCTGTCTTGAACGTAATTTTGGCAGATTGTAAACACAAAACACAAGATAGAATATAGGTACTTTAATATATGATAGATACAGTGGAACCTCGATAACTCAAAACGGTTGGGATAAAAAAAATTCGAGTTATCGAAAATTCGACTTACAGAAGTACACACATATCATATATTGACGTATTATAAGGCAGGGACCAAGGCATTCGTTCGAGTTACCGAAAATTCGCGCGTCTTATAGAGGTTCGAGTTATCGAGGTTTAATTGTACATGCATATTTAAAATTACCTGTTTGGTTGTTAAATGGGCTAGGACAGTGATAAGTAAAAATCTAACGAAGTATTGTAAAATCCAGCCATATACAAGAATCTTATACTTCGAGTGTTTCCACACTGCTTGCAAGTGATAATATACGTCGAATAAGGCGTACAGACACAATGCGCATAATGACAATCCCAAATGAATTCCAAACGTGTTGTTTAAGTTCTTTACAGCTTGGCTAACTAATTTGTGTTTGGCTTTTAGGATTTCCAAAACATCAATCATTGGATAGCCGGCAATCAGAGAATGAAAAACTTCTCTGTTGTATTCAATAGTGCTGTTGGTTTTTCCGTATTTCTCACCAGTTAATGACACGAACGGGTATTTGTTACGCACGATCGTATTGATCTTGAGTGCCATTAAATCGTTATTGATCCCAACGATCTTTTGATAAACAATGTAACACAATACAGTAAAATGAGCTTCTATGCAATACATGCTGAAGTTTTGTACATATACTAAAGCAACAAATGGAACGGTTTGTTTTGCTACGTCATATAAAATCCACAATCTGCACACATTAACAGGTATGGTTAGTAATATGCAACTCAGTACGACCCGAGATGATATTTTTTTCAACTTATCTGTTTCAGAAGATGTCATTGGTGTAAATACATGAAAATCGTCTATATTCTGTTTGTACATTATCAGTTGAGTTTTGCCCTTCAAAAAAATCACACATCTTGATATCATACAGGTCAAAGCCACCAACCTGGCAAACAACCCTTTTATAAACGTTGATAGTGAGCCGTCACAGTTGCCTTCCAATATACATACGATTTGAGGTGTAGTGTAAAAAACATATACACAAGACATAATTAACAGCATTGAGTAAATTTTTTGCCATTTGTTGTGAACAACAGATATAACACTAAAAATATCAAAGATAAAAACTGACCATTTCGATAGTGAGTGAAACATCATTAACTACCAGTATTTTTTTTTTAAAGCCACCCATACTATTTTTTGGATGATTTTCAAGGCTATATTATAATATTGTGTATAT